ACGCCCTACACCACTGGCAAGTTGAGCCATAGCGGCTGCACCTGGCTATCTAGGCCTTTGCATCGGCCACCATATGGTTGCCACTCATGAGTTTCTCGTGTCAGTCAGAATATAGGGAGCCTCGAGGCCTGGAAAGCCAGTTTTGGGCCAGGGAATCCACCCAAAGACACATCTTCGGTTCAGATTGAATGTGTTGTTGCATGTTCGGCTCGCCGCGCACGCGCGCGTTATACCGGTTCGCGACTCCGACATTACTATACAAAGTGAACGGAGATGCCAAGTTCTGGATCCAGTTTAACAAGCTTAACAGGCTGGGTTTTATGGAGTTTATTCTGTTGGTTTTTGTCCTTGGGGGGTTGGCCTTGGATTACTTTTGGGCATTGTTTTAATGAATGTTCAACATCGTCACGATGTCGTGAGGTTGAGAGTGTCACTTTAATGCATCTGGAGAGCCTCATAGAAATCTTACTTTGAGAACTGCCTGCGCTGTATTTACCTTGCTTTGTTCAGCTGTCAGCCTGTCAGACTCTCCTTCAACAAAGATTCGGATTTTGCACCACGTGCACCTCGGCTATTTGGCTCTGTGCCAGCCAAACAGCAACCCTTGAAAGTTTCTTGAAAGAACTGGTTTCCTTTTTGTTTCCCTTTAACACCACCCCAACATGGGCACCCAAAGCCACCGCACACACAGACACGCACGCATACGCGCACGCGCACGCGCGCGCACGCAGGCAAGCACGCACGCACACACAGACACACACACACACACAGGCACACACACACACACGGATACACAGTAACACACACAGACACACACACACAGACACACACTCACACACACACACAGACCCACACGCACACACGCACAGACACACAGACACACACACAACACACAGACACACAGAAACACACAACAAACACACACACACACACACCCACACGCACACGCACACGCACACGCGCACGCACACGCCCACGCGCACGCGCACGCGCACTCGCACTCGCACGCGCACGCGCACACGCACGCACACGCGCACGCGCACGCGCACACGCGCACACGCACGCACCCACAGACACACAGGCAGGCACGCACGCACGCACGCACACACGCACGCGCACACGCACGCAGCCAGGCAGGCAGGCAGGCAGGCAGGCAGGCGCGCAGGCACGCAGGCAGGCACGCACGCACGCAGGCACGCAGGCACACAGGCACGCAGGCACGCGGCACACAGGCACGCAGGCACGCAGGCGCACGCACCCACACACACACACACACACACGCAGACATGCAGACACGCAGACATGCACACACCCACACACCCACACGCCGACGCACACACACACACAGACACTCACATAGACCCACACAGACACACACACACACACACACACACACACACACCGACGCAGCAGGCTCGCACGCACCCACCCACCCACACACGCGCGCGCACCCACAAACGCACACCCACAGACTCACGCCACTCACCCGCTACTCACACACAGACACGCACGCACACCCACCCACCCACCCACCCACCCAGCCACCTGGATCAGGGATTATAGTAAGGCCTATAAAAACTATGTTGACCAGCTCTCAAGCAACAATCAGCTTTTGTTTGCGGAACTCCCGACGGACAGGAGGGCTTTTGTTTCATTCTATGATGCTCTTCTTTGGTAGACATGTATTTAGCTTCAGGCAATTCGCTTTGAAGGCAGTAGTCAGGTGACAAGAAAATCGCCTCAAAGCTTTCGGCGAATTGTTTTTTTTGCTATTTGGTTGGTTTTTTGCATTTAAACTGTTGGGAAGCTGTGGGTTTTCTATTGGACCCACAAAACGTTATACTTTTTGCAGAGGGGTCAACAGTAACCAAGCTGGGATCTCAAAGATTTGCAGTCGAAACCACGATTTCGGCGGGGACAGGATGTCGCTCAACACGCCAAGGTGGAGTTGTTGATGCGGGTGTGGTCTGCGGGCTGCAAGTTCTTCATCTCCGATGAGTGGATGTGGGGTATGCTAGACGCTCGCCCGGGATGGGTAGGTGTTTTTGAAGCAAAACCGCCAGGGAAACCAACATGTTGGGGGCTCATCTCCTAAAACTTCCATTTGCTTAAGAATATTTGTTATGTTCAAGGGAATCTATGACTACTGGACATATTTCTATTTGTCCAGGGAGCGAAAACACACACTTGTTCCCAACCCCCTCAGAGTAAAAGGTCCTTCGGGCCGTCCCGCTGGCCCGAGGACCTGATCATTGTGCTGACGAGCTTGTACGAGGTGTCCATGGATGTGGCCGGGGCAGTTATAAATCAGGCTGGATCCGAGCACGGGATCTGGTACTTCACATCATTCCGTGGCTGAATTTGCTCGTAATTATTTGAGCCCCCAGCACACAAGAATCTGGCAACCCCGCCAAACTGCTCAAAGCTCGGGCGCTATGTTCCCTGTGCAATGGGAGCGCCGGTTGTCTTCTTCGATGTTCGACAACAGACATGTTGATTT